GACTGTTCACCAATTGAATTCAACATTTTCCTGGTCCATCTTGTGGGTGGGTATGAGCTGGGATGAGTTTTTTGTTCCGGATTGTGGAACATTTGAGACAACTTCAGTGCGCATGCCTGTTCGCAGGCAGCAATGGTCAAATGAGGAACGACGATGCAATTGGGTAAATGTCGTATGGGTGGGAAGTTTGCATATATTCTCTTCTTCGTTGCATACTCACATTGGTGGATATGAATTACCCGTCAGTATATCTAATGTCTTGAAAACTGAGTTAGATCTCGTTGTTGCTTTTGTTGACATTGTTCTTGTTCTTCTTGCTCTTCTTGTTCTTCTTGTTCTTCTTGTTCTTCTTGTTCTTCTTGTTCTTCTTGTTCTTCTTGTTCTTCTTGTTCTTCTTGTTCTTCTTGTTCTTCAATCTTGTTTTTGTTGCTCAATCTTGTTTTTGTTGCTTTTCTTGTTCTTCTTCAAAAGAGTCGAAAGTTGCCCACCCAACAAATTCTGTGTTGGTATTACCCAGCACTAACAGGATGAGGGCCTTGAAAAAAATGAGTCCTGATTTAAGAATGCTCAAAAACCAAGCGAAATAGAAAATAATTGTTGTGCCCCTTTTTCATGGAGTGAGTCCTGATTTAAGTATGCTCAAAAGCATAAGCGAATAGAAAATAATTGTTGTGTCCCTTTTTCATGGAGTAGATATTTGAAAATCTCTTTAAGACCCTGTTTATATGAGATAGGGTGCCCCTAGTTGTAGGGCCGAAATCCTTTGTTTTAAATCCTCCAGGGAAAAGAAAACAAATGAGTTAGCCCTACCACAGAGTGGCACCCTATCTCATGTAAATAGGGTCTAAAATTGGTTAAGATCATCAAAGTTAAACCCCCTGCTATGAGAGCCATATTAATGAAGTAGCAATGATTGAAGTAGCCAAAGGAATAATAATAAAAAAAAATCGAGGAATAGCCAATAGTTTGTTATTGAAAACAGTTTTTACCCTTGTTTTGTGAGGGAAAAAACTGCAGGTGTTTGTTGCCGAGAACCTCGTAGACATTCATTTTTTTATTATTTTAGGGACRGTAAACATGAAAACCTCATTTAACAATCGGATGCTGATTCTTAAATACTAATCAACTTTTAAAAGTCTCAATTAATGATGATGCTGATAGTTGCCGATTTAACTAGCAAAGAATTAAGACTTTTTGCACCTTAACTTGATAAAATACTTGAGAGATTTTTTTTTCTTTCTTTTTTATTTTTTCCTTCACTTTATTTCTTTTTTTTCTCTTTTCTCTTTATTTTTTTTTTTGAGAATTTGAGAAGCTACCGACAGTCTAACAATCATACCCTTCAAGCCGCGTCCAATTTTGTTAATTGCAAAGCTATTTGCCTACTTTGTTGAACGCAAACGGATGCCTCAAAAGAATGAAACAGTATTAGAACTCCAAACGTTTTATCACTCTYGTGCATCTAATGGATAAGCTTTTTATCTTGGTAATGAGTTTACCAGTATAGTAAATTTAGGTAATAAAGAATGGTCGGTCCTTTTTACATGCCGCTGTAATTGCTTACTCTAGAGAAAGGTTTTCCTTAAATATCTCTTGCCAATTATGARATAGGTTATTTGCTATATGTTGAGTAAGAGTTAAGTGTTGTTGAGTGAACGCCGATACAGTGAAAACCCCGCTTAATGCGACCACTCCATTCCGGACATATTTTATGTCCTGGTAAATTAAGTCTTCAAACTATTCTACCAGCTTAAAGCGACCACCCTGTTAATTCGAACTCTTTTGATGCCCGTTCGGTGGTCGGATTAAAGAGGTTTTTCATWAATAACACCTGCCTCGGCAGCTATATAATCGATGAGAGACGGTTTACGGTCAGATATACGACCACAATCCGCGTGTTGGCATTACATAAAGTGCTGTTGTTAATGGTAAGCTCTCGGTTTCCTCTAATGGTTTTGCCTTACATTGAAGTATTTTTTTCCTCAGTTTTATTATTCTTTTATAACTCATCTTCATGTCATTCCAAAGTTTTCTAATTGTTTGATTTTAATTTTTTCCCGGTTCCGAAACACCTAATAATATTGCATTGCCTTGTTTTTTCCTTTGTTTCTTTTCATTTGCTGAACACTTTTTTTCTAACTGTTATTTAAAGATACCCTCAGCACTCAGCACACATTTGAATGGAAATCACTTGGTTATTGAGAATTTTATAAAGCGAATTTATTTATTTTAGTTATAGATTTATATCTTTAACACGGACGGAAAAAATGAAAAAAAAAAGAAATTGCTGTTGGATATCACTAAGAAAAGCACAACTAAAATAACAACAAACACAACAACAGCATCGACGACAACAAACAAAACAATATAATACAATAAGAAAAACAACAACAACAACAACAACAACAAAAATCAACACACCGACAACAACAAAAAACAGCAAAACGAAAAAAAACAACAACAACAGACACAACAACAACAGCAATAAAATAAAATAAGTAAAGTCAACATCGACAAAACAAAAAACAACAAAAGGAAATGAAACAAAACAACAACAACAGCAAACACAACAACAACAACAACAATAAAATAATACAAAACAACACCGATAAAAGTCAACATCGACAACAACAACAACAACAAAAATAAAACGAAATAAACAACAACAACAACAACAACAAAAGAAAAAAATATGACAAAAAACGTCAATGTTCTGCCTCCAGTTTTTCAGATTTTGACAGTTTATTTTACAGCAGACGACAAACCCCAGTAGCTTTGAAATAATCTCAAGATATATTCAACTTTCGGCTTATTGGGCACCATAGCAAAAGATTCTTAAATGGCTAAGAAGAAAAAAAAACTGCTGCCGACTT